CGATCTCGCTTCTCGCGCGCACAGGGAAAGTCGTTCCACATTTCGTCGCGTAAATTTCTCGCGCGATTTTCCCCCACAATGGTGTTTCGCGCATCGTTCGGTTTGGGATTTCGATAGCGGCCCGTTCGAAGCTATCCGTTCTCGAAAATTCTCACCGCGTTTGTATCGATCTACGGGTGGAATATAGGTATCGGATAGAATATATAGGGCGCCGATAAGGGGAATAAGAAAGGATGGAAGAAGAGAATGCACGAGGTGAGAGGAATTTTATTTTATTTTGCGGGGTGGCGCCTCGTATTTTTGCCGCGTGAGTGAAGCGAGATATTCGGGCGCGGTTGAATAACGGAAATAAATATATATTTTCAGTTCCGGGCGAGAAAGGGATCGGGAAAAAATACCTTCTATATCGCTATACTGGGCGATGATCGGGATGATAATATGTAAAATATTCGATTATGTAAAACAAAGAGGTCGTAAGAAAAATTTTTGCAAAGAATTCGAAAATGTTACGCGTTCAATTTGTTAACGAGAGAAGTTTATTCTCTATCGTATTACGTAATTATTTTCTCTCTCTCTTCTTTCTCTGTCTGTAATTCTTCTCTCTACAAATGAGAAAAATTATCTGAGTGCAAGTAATAATTGACGTTTAATTACGTCAAATACCGAAAATGAAAGTTTTCGCGGAATGAAAATCGTTTCTGCGGAAAGGAAAGGGAAGGAAACTCTGTTTCCAACGTTGATCCGTGAGAACTCGCCTCCTCCATCCAGTAATTTTATCCTACGTCTCGTTTGCAAATGAACGCGTGGCTCCGGCGTAACACGCGCGATTAACAAACAGACCTTCAGACTAATTCGACACGGCCTTAATTCGCTTCTATTTGCTCTTTTCTCGTTAGTTGGTCAGGCACGTGATCAAAGGGGGTGGAATAGCTATCACGGGGCAGGAGCAACGGCAATTAGGCGGCGGCTTTTTGGAAGGTGACGGCGCTCCTCCAGGTAAAAAAAAAAAAAATTTTAATATTATGTCTTCCAATGTTTTTTCTGAATTTTCTCTTGTATACATTCATATAAGATATGGAAAAATTGTTTAAATTATTTAAAAAATTAATAAAATATATTTATCTCTACGAAATGTAATGTAATTATTTTTCTAAAAATAATTCATCATAATCTGTAGATTGAGAACTACTGCTATGAACATATCCTATTCTACATTTTTCTATTTTATTATTATTTCTATAAAAATTATTATTATTTCTATAATCTATATATTGAGAACCACTGCTATGAATACATCCTATTCTATATTTTTCTATTTTATTATTATTAAAAATTATTATTCATAGGAATCAGATGAATACTTAAAAAAGTAATGTAATTATATTAAAATAAATAAACGCTAAAGATCATTAATTGGAACAATAATCCTTTAAAAATTATTTTCATAATTTATAGATTGAGAACCACTGCCATAAACACTATTCTATCATTTCATCGTTATTAAAAAAGTTATTATTCCCCAGGATCAGGTGGATATTTAGGAGAGGTGACCATGGTGCAACTTTATGAGGTAGCCCTGTCAGCGGGGAAAGCCCACAAGGATCACAAACACCATCATGCCCATCACTACGAGCACGACACCGAAAATAACACGCCCAGACCTACGCGCCCTCCAGTGACCGGTCCCCCCCTCCCGCAGCATCCCTATCTCACGGGTGGACAGATCAATCATCAGGTTCGAACATCGACTCTCGCAATGCACTCTCCCGTCTCTCGTGGAACCACGATACGCTAACCTTGTCGAGTTTCAGATAAAACTCAATCCCGGGACGCCGCTACAAATCATTCAAGATGGAGTCACCCTGAGGCATCCGGCCCTGATTCCTCGCCATCCACCACCTCAACCGTTACCACCCGCGAATCCCAATTCCGTCTCGACAGCGTTCCCTTTGCAATCTACCCATTTCTTCGGGAACCTGCAGTCTACCGTCGGTTTGCCTTCGGCTAGCATGGCGGACAGTCCGTATCGCAATCTCTTTAAGAGAGAGGAAAATTCGTTGGGAGTTGAATCCGAGGAAGAAAAATCGTATTCGAGTTTTGAAGAGACAGTGATCCAGGTCTCAGGAAAATCCACGATCGAGAAGAGGGGGATAGAGAAAAATGGAGTATCCGAGGAAAAATTTTCGGATGGAAAAGTAAGGAATACGATGTACTAATATTCGTGAAATTGTAGGTTTTCGATAAGTAACGTGGTGTTATACCTCTTTATCTAAAATCGCCACTATGTTTATATATTATCGATATATGGATAATATGTTTAAGATATAACAAATGAAAGTAACTAGAGTTCCTATGTTTTCTATAATTCAAATTTATTATTAAAAAATTTACCGATTATCTATGGGATAAACGATATTTAATTAGTTAAAAAATATTTCGTTAAAATCCAATTAAATTGCCAATTAAATTCCGCTAAATTAAATTAAAATAAATTCAAACAATTATATTTTAGGTAACGTTCGTGCCTAAAGAGGAAGTCGAAGATTTAAAATCAATGGATAAACGCGATTCTCCCAAAAAGAAACGCGGTCTAGTGCAATTGGACGACGGTCTGCTCTTAAACGACGGCTATATATCCCAAGGACTAGAGGACGAATACTTTTCGGGACTAACGAGCTTCGGTCTTCACTTACCGAAATACGAGGATAAGGACGATGAAAGAGAACCGGCGGAAGCGGAAGTAAGAATGATCATGAATATCTGCGACGGTTGCGCCGATGAACCGTTCGCGAAAGCCTTGATTATGGGATGGAGATCGGTCCCTAAGAAGTTATATTCCGGCGCGGTACACATTCCGGCCGTGCAAACGTGCAAAGCGTTCTAACAAAGACGATCGACCGAGCGAAAGAGGAGACGACTTCGTAAGTTATCGTACGCTAGGTTCGGGTCCACTCGGATCCATTCGCGCGGCATCGACCAATCCCCGCGAAGATTTATGGTTATCGCAGTCTCACTCGGTAGTCGACCGCTATCGCTGACACAGGATCTTTCGTACGTGCTGTGAACCCGAGGCCAACGGATCTCCAAACGCGTTAGCGCGATTACACGTGCGTCGGATAGAACGGATGGATATCGATTACAGGGAAAGCGATTCCGATCGCGTTCGGAGACGTATTTATTATTTACAGTAGCTTCGCCCCAGGGTTAGTCACCGAAGGTATATATTTAAGTTTACGTATATAATACGATCGACGGCGTATCAAACGAAAATATTATGTAAGGACGTAATACGGCGGTTACAAAAGTAAATATTTCGTATACTGTAGTATTTATTAATTAGAATTTTCACTCTCACGTTTTTCGATAATATGTAAGTAGACGCGTAATAAATTCGAATGTGCGATTAACATGCGAAAAATATTTAAGTATGGTCGTTTCTTATTTATGTTTTAATCGGTCTTAAAGTTAATCCAAAAACGATATAAATAGAAAAATGCAAGCCGAGAAAACATAAATCGGGATACGATTGTAATTAATAATTTTTGTATTCGTTTAATAGTATTTACAATAACGGATAAAAGTATAAGTTTAATTAATTTATTAAAACAGAATAACTTTTTTAAAATTGGACCAAACGAATTTTGAAATTTTTTAAAAAGCAAAAAGATAATTTACTATATGATGTATAAAAAATTTTTTGAAAAAGTTACAACTGATCAGAATTATATAAAAAAAATAATAAAGGTCGTTTTTTACAAGTTTTTTATCTGAGCCTGTAATGCAAATTTTAAATATATATTTTATAGATTTATGTAACTTATATATCAATGTTAAAAATTTCATCAAAATGATGTAGAAACGAGTGACAAATATCAAAAAATGTAAAAATCTTTAAATTTATTATATATAAAAAAAAATTGCAATTTTCACCATTTTTAATTGTTTGTAAGTCATAACAACATTAATTGATTTCAATAAAATTTTCAATACGTATACAATTAATGAAAATCTACAAAATCTCTTAATTTTCATAACATGTTCAGATAAAAAATTTATAAAAAGTAATCTTTACCGATCTTCTTTGTGATTTCGACCAATTATAACTTCTTCAAGATTTTTTTTTATACATCATATGATAAACTTTTCCCAAGTTTTCATACAACTCGTTTGTCCTAATTTAAGAAAGTTATCTCGTTTTAAAAACTTTTATACTTTTGTCCACTGTTGTATCCATGAATACAAAAATATTCGATGCTACAAAAATAAAAAAAAAAGTTCCTTTAAAAAAAAAAAAAAAAAAATAAAGATATGTGCAAATATTTATTTTGTAACCATCGTACGTAATTTCGAAAATTTTTATTACTTGAGAATCGATCAAGTCCTTCCAAAAAAGGTGGGACAATAAATTTTGCAAACGTTTGGAAGCTGGTTACCTTGCTCTTGTGAATATGCTGATGTTGGTATTCGCTGTCGAATTCCGGCTCGCTGAAGTAGCTCTGGTCCTCCCAGTGAGGGGGTAGTCCCGTTCCTGTCCCTGGTATCCCCAATGGTCCTGGCATCCCTGTCACACCGTCAGTGCTCTCGAATAGTCGCAAGACGCTTCGGTCTCGGATGTCTCTCAGATGCGATCTGGAATCGAAATGAAGAATTTTTTAATATAATTTGGGAATCGACTGGGATGCATAAAACAGGAGCGTTATATATAATATGTGCAAAATATTCCATTTAAATTAAAAAATGAATGCTGGAAACTAATGATGATGTTGAAAAATATTTCAAATGAAAATTGAAATTTTTAAAAGGTGTATAATAAAGGTGTACTCATAAGAGAGTAAAGGTATAATTAATTGGAAAACAGGAGGAGAATAGAAATTAAATTCTCTGAAATATTTTTCTATATATATATTATCAACAATTTCTAAAATATTCAAGTAAAAATTAACGTGACATATTCCAAAATAAGATTTTTAATTATGATTTTTATTATCAAATTCTAGATCTAAAAATCGTATTACAAGTTTGAATGTATTCTATTGTATCGTTATTTTTGTGAAAAAATATTTTAAAAGGAAATACTTGACATACCGTATGGCGCAACGTACCTGAGATCTTCGAGTTCGTAGAACATATCCTTGTTGCTATCGTGTATGTAAACCTTGACGTGGGGGCTGTCTAGATATTCCATAGTGAGTTGCTTCGGAAAACTTCGTACGAAGAGAGCCTTAACGGTGTCTATGCTAGTGATTTCGTTCGGTAGGAGCGCCCGCTTCGTCTCGTTCCTATACTGCAGGAACACTAGACCTAAGGAATCGTCCACAGAAACGCATCGTTTCGTCAGGAATGTCCGACAAGGGCATCGAGCAGCGAGGCAGCAACAAGACGCTCCTAATTCTATTGCGGGTCGTGAGTTACCTAGTGGTCGCTCCAGAGTTTTGCTGGGGGTCCGTACGACGGGGAGGCTGCTTCTTTGCTTGCCACCCCGTCGAAATCCGGTGCTCGATGTCTCCACCTCGGACATGATGCCCGGGTCGTCATCGAACAACATCGTCGTAGAGGGAGGTGGGTACCCGCGCGGAAGAGGCGACTGAAACAATCAAAAGTGTTTGTCAGTATAACCGCGGAAGTTTCGTCCATTCTCTCTTCGTTTATTGTTTCTGTTTAAACGATCGTTCGAATTCGACGCGAACAAAAGAAAGAAAGAAAGAAAAAAAAAAAAAGAAAAAAAAAAAGAGAACAATCGACGATATAATAGAGAAAAAACGATGAGAAACGATGAAAAAACGGATGCATGCCATCGTGCGAATCGGAACGATATCCAAGCGCTTAGAGAAAAAGGGAGAAACGTGTACAAAAAAGGTGAAAAGAAAAAGAAAAAAAAAAAGAATTACCTTTCTCTGGCGAGACTTGGTCCCCATCTGTTAGGCGGCGGCAGGTACACGGAAACACACACACACAAGTAAACCAGTTAGACGTATATATGCATGGAGCAGAAAAAAGGGTTTGCTGGAAATGCAGCACTGTGAAAAGGTAAGAGCGAAACAATGCGATCGCGATCGATCGACCCGAGGCATGGTCGAAGGAGAACACTCTCTGTGGTCGTTGCGTTGGTGGGTACGAAGGCTGGCCTGGACTCTTGCGGTTCTGCAAAAATCTTTCGCGATCGCCAACTCTTTCCCGCCTCTCTTTTCCTTCTTTTCAACTCTCCCGAAAAATTCTTAAAAAATATTCTTTCGTCCAAAGTTGGCGATCACGTTATTGCGTCGTTTTGCGTTTATAAAAACGACGCAGATAATTCGGTAACGCGTTTCGTCGAGTCGACGGACGAAGAGGCAAAAAAAGGACCAATATAGTAATATAATCGAAAAAAGTGGAGGGGGGGGAGAAAAACGAGCAGGAAGGCGTGACCGTGCACGATAACGGTTAAGTGCCACGTGTACGCCACCAAGCTACTTAGGTAAAATATATACGATTAAGGAATGACTCGCAGGGGCTAACGACTGGTTTATTTCTCGGAATCCATTTTCTCGGTTGAAATCCACGGAACCTGGATAAACAGGAACGCAGGAAAGCTGCGCCCTAAAATAGACAAAGCGCGCTATGAGCGCATGTGTTCCAAACGTTCGAACGACGAGACGTGGCAACGGAAGATGAGAAACGAGGACGGCGTAGGTGTATATGGGACTTAATTAACCTCTTCCCTTCGTTATGCTCGGTTCTTGACCTCGGAATACTACTATATATCCGTTCAAGTCATTGCCGGATACATCGTTCGGCGAACATCGTCGTCCTTTACGTATATGATCGTCGCACGCGATCCGCTAATTTGTATTCCCGGAACGGTAACGCGATTTACGGCTACTTTTCCCCGCGTCTCGCGAGACTCCTCCCCCTTAATCGATTAACCAGCTTGGGTTTAACGCACGGAAAACGGGTGGTTAGTGGATAGATTAAATTTGATCGGTGTATGTAATTTATACAATTAACATTATCGTCGATCGAGTCAAAAAAAAAAAAAAAAAAAAAAAAAA